CAATTATTTACTTATTCAATGGAAAACTGAGTGTTGGAATGAATAATATGCCTATAAACGAAGGATGATCTAGAAAGTTATTAATGTTATCTAGAAATTGCAATTTCGATAGAATGATGGAGCAAATATACAGAGGTACTAGAATTAATCATGTCAAAAATACCATTAAGATCTTCTGTAATTGTCCAATAAATGAAAAAAAAAATAATTACTGTAGAGATCACAAATGATCAAGAATTGAATGACATGATACAACTTGCGGAAAAACAAATTTCAATCGAGTTGTTCATTGAAAATATTCCAATATCTGGGGTTGCCGAAGTTTCATATGCTCACGGAGAGTTCTCCTGCATGCTTGAAAATCAAATCTCATACTCTCAAAGTGCCTTGTACTTAAAAAATGACTCGAGTGCAATGTCAAGTGACATGTTCCACAACACGCCGGGTCATGTTTCAGTTAATTTACCGGTTTGTTCTATTATAGAAGAGGATGAGGATGTATATGGGGATGATGATAATGAAGATGTTGAAGAGGAGGAACGTCTTGATAGTATGCAATGTGCAATTGGAGAAACTGATAATGACACCCGTTGGATGGATGAATATTGTATAAATAACGATTATGTAGAGTCTGAAGATCGTTGTCAGAAGAGTTTCAAATTGAGGAGTGGATAAATATCTCACAAGCTGAGTTCGTTGAGCTTGGTCCTAATTTCGATCGACCTGAGGACTTCACTTTCAAAAAAAGGAGATCTTTTCGAGAATAATGAGAGTTTAGTTTTCGCTATACGTGAATGGGCAATCAAGAACCGGGTCAAATTCAAACCGGTGAAAACTAGTACAACTAGCTACCATGTAAAGTGCTACTTCAAGGAGAAAGGTCAAGGAGAGTATACAAGTGCTCAAGATGAGATAATTCAAAGTGTTCATGGAAGCTTATTACAACTGTTAGGAAAAAAAAATCTAATAGGCAATTTATGATTTCTAGTTATTGCGGACTTCATACGTGTTGCAATCCGACTGTCAATGTCAATCATAAGACATCAACTTCATCTTATATCTTGAAGCTAATTATGCTCGAAGTTAGGCGGGAACTTGATCTTACTCCAAGTCAAATAATTACAAGGGTATATGATATGAGATAAATAACTATATCCAAGTATAAAACATATGATGCACAGAGGAAGGCATTGACTAAAATCTTTGGAGATTGGGAGAAATCTTACAAATAACTTCCACAATATCTTGAAGCAATTAAGAGGAAAAATCTGGGGACCAAATATGAGCTAGTGTCTAAAGAGATCGCACCGGGAGTGGAGAGGTTAATGCGGGTATTTTGGACATTTGGACCCGCTATCAAAGAGTTCTCTTTTTGTCATCCGCTCTTGAGCATCAATGGCACACATTTATATGGCAAGTACAAATGAGTGCCCTTGGTTGTGACTGGTGTAGATGCAAACAGTGGGCTATTTCCAATAGCTTTCACAGTTGTGGAGGTGGAAGATACATCGAGTTGGAAGTGGTTTTTTTAATGTATTTACAGATATTTGCTGACCGTTCAAAGTCCCAGAACGATTACTTTTATTTCTGACCGGATGAAAGGAATTCCATGAGCCTTGCATAAGGGGTGGAGTGCACCACATCATCACTGGTATTTCTTGCAGCATATAAGAGCTAATTTTAAGAAAAAAATGCAGAGAGTTCAATTTACAAAATCTATTGTGGCAAGTGTTAGACCCTAAGGCCGCTAGGAAAGAACCCTAGAGGGGGGGGGGGGGGGGGGATCTTATGCTAATCTAATCTGATTTTATGCCAATTAAAACTAATTAACAAATATATCCTAGCAAGTATGATATGCTACAAGATATGTGCAAGAATATACAATATAAACAAGGGTAAACAAAATGATCATGTAACAATGGCGATATAACAATATGCAAGAATAAATGCGCCAATGCCAAACCCAAACACAAGGAAATGATCACGGAGTTTGGACCTTCCGTCCTACGTCTCCGCTCCCCACTCCCGGGGAGAATCCACTACACAACCCGGTTTGGAAGCCGGAACTTCTCTAAACACTCGGTTTTCTAGCTAACTGAAAACTCTACACACTCGGTTATTAAGTCAACCGACAACTCTCACAAATCCTCACAAAGTACATACACATTTGGAAGCCGGAACTTCTCTACACATTCGGTTTTCTAGCTAACCGAAAACTCTACACACTCGGTTATCAAGTCAACCGATAACTCTCATAAATCCTCACAATGTACATACACAAGCTATAACCTCAAGTGTTGGTCCTCACGTATCGACTCCCTCAAGTGCTCGGAATTATCACCTCTCACTAGGCCACCGACGCCACTCCTCTCGGTATTGACTCCGTCCTCACCACACACTCCTCTCGGTGTACAAGTGTATTATAAAGTGAACTTCACATTAGGCACACAACAAATGATTGTTCTCTAAACAAGGTGAGAAATCAATTGGGCTCAACTCAATGTTACTATCTCTCACAACCCCAAATATATTATGAATGCAAATACAATAAGCTCAAGTGGGTGTGTGTAACAATGAGATTAATCAAATCTAAACTCAAATATAAAACTAGCTTTAATAAGATGATAATCAAACAAATAAATATAAAGCTAGAAAAGAGTTTAGAAAACTTCTCAATAGATAACAAGAGATGGAGGGAGAATAGTTGATTGCTCAAACTCCAATAGATGATCTCCTCAAGCTCTTGTGGAATTGAATTCACAAACTCAAACCCTCAATTGCTTAAAAGCTTTTTAAACAAACACTAAACAAAACTTAAACCCTTGTTAAAACTTTGTTAAAATATTTTCTTGGATGTGTGAAGAGCTGAAGGCAATGGGGCATTTATACCCACTCAAAACTTCAGCAAAAACCCTAAGGAAAAGATCAAAAACCCATAAACAAACAAATCAGAAAACTAGCCGTTACTGTGCAACGGCTCTCTGATAAGTCGACTTATGAGTCGACTCATGAGTCGACTTATGAGTCGACTAATGAGTCGGCTTATATGAGTCGACTCAGCAGAAGAAAAATCATAACTGTGCTATACTTCGTGAGTCGACTTATGAGTCGACTCATGAGTCGACTAATAAGTCGACTGAACATGCACAGACCTGAAGTGCACAGAAAAACTCAACTTTAAACTGGGTTTAAAAATATCAAATAAATTCCAAAATTTATAAAACTTTGGGAGATGATTCTAGACATGATAATAAACATGCTACAAAAACTGGTTTTTAATAAAGACCTCCCAAATGAGAAATATCATCATTTTGTAAAATAGTTCAAAACATAAAAATGTGAACACATGAGTTTTGACATTTTAACTTAACCATGTTTTGAAACATTACAAAATGATTTTGTAGACTTAATAAAAGATGTATATGATTATTGTTAAGTCTATAAACCAAGAAAACAATATTTTTACAAAAATACTTGTTTTGCAAACTTTCAAAACAATAAACATGATTTCATTGAACTAAATAAAATTGATATTGATGAAATCATATGTAAGCATATAAACATGAAACAAAAATAATTTTCCAATTATATTCAATTGTTTCATATTTAAACATGAAAAACCAAAACAATAAATATGAAAGATGTGAATTCATATTTATATAAACTTGGAAACCAAAATATGTATGTATTATATATATATATAACTATATAACTATATATATATATACAATGTCTACAATATAATGTGTGTGTATATATGATCGAGCTTAAAGTACCAACACACATAATATAAACCTAAACTACTGTTACCCAAGCTTGATCTTGATCTTCATTATAGCTTAACTTGGTAAACTTGGATGAAGCTTGAACTTGGATCTTCAACTTGATAGCAAGGCTTCACTCTACTATTCCGTCAACCTCCATTTGATATGATCGTTATGGCGCAATCCATCCATCCTCCAACATGTTGTTTGTCTACAATTGATACAAAAACACAAACACTAGACAAATAACATTAGAAATAAATTGTTTGTAAATCAAAACAAGAAGGTCAACAGCAAGCCGGGTGTGCAACTGACTCACTGGTATATGAGCATTGTAGGGAGAAAATTAAATCCCTATTAGTTGAAGCACACAACTGGATTGAACAAAATTTGAAGCCGCAATACGAAGATCGATAGGCCTTATGTAGAGATGGTGGACTACGCTATTGTATGATGACAACTACTTGTTCTGAAAGTTCCAATGACATACTTAAGGATGCCCGTGCTATGCAAATTCAAGCCTTGGTTGTAAGGACGTTTTATAGATTAAACACATACTTTAATAAGAAACGTAGTGATGAACTGCAAAAGAACATCATATAAAGGGGATAGTTAGGCGCATGATAGAGGGCGATTTTCCTCTTGCTATTGTGCGCCACTGCCTAGATCTCGCATGAAGAAGAAGAAGAAGCATGGTAATAAGGGGATAGTTGATACTACTTTGAGAGACTCGTTATTCGTGTATCCTTCTCCATCCTCTGTAGATGAAGCTGAGGGATCCGAGGGTTCAATGAAGACAAGTGATGCTAGGGGAAGCAATGGAACAGTAAAGGAATTTCGTGCTTCGTCCAGAAATGTAATGGAGATGGAAAGCACTGGCCCTAAGGGAGCTAAGAAGAAAATGCTAATGGAGGAGATCCTGACTAAATCTAAGTCAATTTCAGAACCAGGCCTTCTCAGATCTGGTCCAGCTCGTCAACTAGGTGAGACCTCTTTTTCCCCCTCTTGGGCTGATGAAATGGAAGAATATTTGATAAATGATTTGAATGAATCAACGGAGATGATTGATGATGATCATGAGATTCTTACTCCTTTTGTTGCGCAAGATGATTGATGATGATCATGAGATTCTTACTCCTTTTGTTGCGCAATCTACAATTGAGAGGATGCAGACTGAGAATATTAGGATTTCCCAAGATTCTTACTCCTTTTGTTGCGCAATCTACAATTGAGAGGATGCAGACTGAGAATATTAGGATTTCCCAAGACGTGAGATCTGAAAATCCCAATCTAGAAGAAGAGGAGAAAAACAATGTAGAGGCTCCAGGTCAGCGAGAAGTTCTTGACAGGGAGGAAGTAAGGAAATCATATGTGAGTTTATTTTCTGATAACAGGAAATAAAGGTCTTGATCTCAACTTTGTCCCAGCTTCACCCTCTGCAACTGTATCTTTTACTGATGAAGAATGGAGGGAGGGTGTTGATTATTGGAAATACTCCTTAGTAGGACATGTTATAGGACTGAATGTAAAATTCAAATCTATGGAATCATATATCAACAAAGCATGGGCCAAAATATCAATTCCTAAGATTTCTTTACTTAAGCAAGGGGTCTTTTTATTTGATTTCCAATCTGATCAGCAGATGAGAGAGGTCTTGGAATCTGGGCCTTGGTTCTTTGGTTCAAGGCCTTTGATGCTAAAACCATGGTCTATTGAGATTGAAATGGAGAAAATACAGGATTATTCATACCCAATGTGGATTCAACTCCCAAATCTGAAACTTAATTTGTGGAGTGCCACAGGAATTAGCAAGATCTCTAGCTTAATTGGATGTCCTATAACTATTGATATGCTTACAGCTACTAGGCAGAGACTTAGCTATGCTAGAGTACTAATTGAAGTGCAATTGCCCCTGAAGAACCCCCTGCCAGACCTAGTTGATTTTCAAGGGCCAGATGGGAAAAAGTACAGTCAGAGGGTTATCTATGAGCTTAAGCCTAGATGGTGTTCAAACTACAGTATTATTGGGCATGACACTGACAATTGTAGAAGACAAAAGTTTAAGAAAATATGGGTTCCAGTTAATAGAAAGGAAAATTCTGAAGCTCAAGTCAATTGTGCACTGTCTGAGCCTGTGCATGTTTCTGGAGATCAGATTAATGTTAGTCTGTCTGATACATCTGCTCAGCAAATGAAAGAACATCCAAACAGTAGAAAGGTGCAAATAGTATCAGAGGCAAATATAAATGCTTATGTTTCTCCTGATAAGGGATCTGCACCTGAGAAATATGCACAGAGCATGAGGTCTGATATTCATAGCATTAGACTTGGAAATTCTGGACTGGCAACTTTTCACCAAATTTCCTCTCCAACAGTCAATGCATCTGGATTTTCAAGTGTTAATAGGGCAAGTATTGCAAGAAGAGTTTTAGCAAAAACTCCAGGGAACCTAACCCAGGTATCTTCTTTCTCTCCATTGGAATCTCAGACCCTAGACTTTGACCCCTGTTGCATAGACAGGGGGAAAGGACAATAATGCACTTTGCTATTTGGAATATTAGAGGTTTTAACAAGTCCCCTAAACACTTAATTGTAAAGCAATTCATTCAAGAGTATAAGCTGCCTTTTATAGCCCTATTGGAAACAAAGCTTTCTGCAGGAAATATGGATAAAATAGCTCAAAAATTGCAAAAAATTAGGAATGGATCTCTAATATCCAAGAAGCAGGAAATGGGAGGATTTGGCTTCTATGGAATAGTGATATTCTTTCTATTCAGTGTGTTAAAGCCTCAATGCAATATGTGACATGCTCAGTCAACACAAAAGATGGTAGACTTTCTTGTCTAATGACTGTGGTTTATGCTTTGAATCAAAGAGAGGGAAGGAAAGTACTATGGCAGAAACTTCAAGACTTTAGGACATCAGTTGATTGTCCCTGGCTAGTTGGGGGAGATTTTAATGCCATTACTAATGGTGATGAAAGGTTGGGGGGTGCACCAGTTACAGGAGCTGACACTGAAGATTTTCGGCAATTTATTTCCTCTAGCCAACTGGTGCATATTAAGACTACTGGGTGCTTTTATACATGGAATAACAAACAAGAAGCTGAAAGTAGAATTTGGAGCAGATTAGATAGAGTTTTGATCAATAAGTTATGGATCATGCAATATACATCAAGTCAAGTAGATTTTTTACAGCCAGTCTGTTCTGATCATTCTCAGTTATGGATCATGCAATATACATCAAGTCAAGTAGATTTTTTACAGCCAGTCTGTTCTGATCATTCTCCAGCTCTTCTTACAGTTGGAGATGATGATTTTCAGGGCAAGAAGCCATTCAAATTCTATAAAATGTGGACTAAGCACATTGAATACCTGCCTTTAATCAGATCTATTTGGCAGCAGGATGTGCAAGGTTATTATATGTACAAACTATCCTTCAAGCTGAAAATGCTCAAACCTGCACTCAAAGAATTGAATAGAAGACATTTCATGAATATTAGTGAACAGGTGTTAAGAGCCAAACAGGAGCTATCTGATATTCAAAATAGGATCAACACTGATCTATTCAACTCTCACCTTATTTCCAAAGAAAAAGATTGCTTAAAGAAATATACCACTCTGCTTCAATGTGAAGAATCATTTTATAGGCAGAAAGCAAGCATTAAATGGGCTATTCAAGGAGACAAAAGAATCATTTTATAGGCAGAAAGCAAGCATTAAATGGGCTATTCAAGGAGACAAATCCTCTCACTTCTTCCATTCAGCCATGAAACAAGCATTAAATGGGCTATTCAAGGAGACAAATCCTCTCACTTCTTCCATTCAGCCATGAAAGCTAGGAGACACCAAAATAGGGTGTTATCTCTGTATACTGAGGATGGGAATAGAATTTCTGATATGGACACAATCATCACTGAGCTTATCAACTACTATAAGAGGTTATTGGGAGTTTCTGGAAATGTTTCTGAGCCTGATCTTGCTACTATAACTAATGGTCCTATTCTCTCATCAGAACAAAGAGAATTCCTTGGTTCTCCTGTCACAAGAGAGGAAATAAAACTAGCTGTTTTCACTATGTCTGATGATAAAAGTCCTGGTCCTGATGGATTTAGTGCTTCATTCTTCAAAACTGCCTGGGATGTAATTGGTGATGAGATGTGTAAAGCAGTGGAAGAGTTCTTCTATACTGGTAAACTCCTTGGTGTCTTCAATTCAACTTCCATCACACTAGTCCCTAAAATTCTAAATCCAAGATCTCCATCTGATTATAGACCTATCTCTTGTTGTAACTGTGTCTACAAGGTAATATCTAAAATTATTGCTGCCAGAATTCAGAATGTCATTGGCTATTTGATTGATGATGCTCAGAGTGCATTTGTTAAGGGCAGATTGATCTCTAACAATATTCTTCTAGCGCATGAACTCTTAAAACACTATGGCAGGAAGAATGTCTCTCCAAGAGCTGTCCTTAACATTGATTTGAGGAAGGCCTTTGACACTATAAATTGGAGTTTTATTAAGGCTATGCTGACAGGTTTGGGATTTCCTGATAATATGGTTAAATGGGTGATGGAATGCATCTCTACTTCCAAATTCTCTCTGTCACTTAATGGCTCATTACATGGCTACTTTGAGGGGGCTAGAGGATTGAGGCAAGGAGATCCATTGTCTTCTTATTTGTTTGTTCTTGGTATGGAGTATTTATCCAGAAAACTCAAACTTCTCAGCGCAGACAGACTGTTTAAATACCATCCAAAGTGTGCTAAATTGGGTATTACTCACTTGATCTTTGCTGATGATCTATTACTCTTTTGTAGAGCTGATATGGATTCCATAGTCAAAATAAACAACTGCCTTCAGGAGTTTAGTAGAGTATCTGGATTAGAGGCTAACTCCTATAAATCCTCTGTGCTATTGTGTGGGATTGAAGACAATGCTAAAGCTCAAATATGTTCGTATCTAAAATTCCCAGAGGGATCTTTACCTATAAGATACTTAGGCATGCCCTTGGTCTCTAAAAGACTCTCCTACTTGGACTGCTCATCTTTAATCTCAAAAATTTCGGATCAGCTTCAAGACTGGCAAAGAAGGAAGAACTTATCTTATGCGGGGAGAATTCAACTCATAAAAACTGTTATCCTGGGAATTCAAACATATTGGACAAGTAACTATGTTCTGCCGATAAGGGTGTTGGAAAAAATTGATATGCTTTGTGTTGCTTTCTTATGGGGAAGTAAAATACATCTTGTCTCATGGTTAGAAGTCTGCAAGGATAAAAACTTAGGAGGTTTGGGGCTATTCTCCTCTAAGCTGTGGAATCATGCTGCAGCAATCAAGTGGCTATGGATGATACACACTAAAAAAGACCTATTGTGGATTAAATGGGTACACGAAAATTACTTAAAGCAACTGGAAATTTGGCAAGTTCAACCGAAGAAAAGTGATTCGTGGATGTGGAGACAAATCCTAAAGGTGAGGGATTTGGTATTGAGAAGATTTGGGAATGTGCACAACCTACTCAGAGCTATTGCTAACTGTCACAGCAATGGAAAAATAAAAATTTCATCTGTCTATAACACTATCTCCCAATCTTCAGCAGCTGTACCCTGGGCGAAAACAGTTTGGGGTGGTTTGCATTATCCCAAGCATTCGATAATCCTATGGCTTGCTACTCTATCAAAGCTTCTGACTAAAGACAGATTGTGTCGTATGGGTATATTGGAAATCAACCAGTGTGTGCTTTGTGCTGATTCTGTTAGTCAACCTGAATCTAGAGAACACCTGTTCTTTGAATGTCGATTTTCTTCTTATGTTTGGATTAATCTGATGGCATGGATGAAGTTTACTTGGAGATCCTGCTGCTGGAGTCAGGTAATGAGATGGTATAGCAACAATTTGAGGGTTCTTGGATTCATGAAAAAACTCAAGAGAATGATGTTATCTAGAGCAGTTTATTGGATATGGAAGGAGAGAAATTTGAGGATTTTCCAACAAAGAACCCGCAGCCCTGACCAGCTTATCAAGGAAATTAAGATTTCATTACTCTTGAAAGCTCTTAATGATGATGTTCCTGAATACTTAAGAGAAGAAGTAGCAAAATTGTAAAATGTAGATAGGTTTCAGTCTTTTGTTTGCCAGACAAAGTTCTGGTAGTTCTTGTTGCTCTTTTATTTCAATATTTTGGTGATGAATAAAATTTATTTCATTGACCAAAAAAAAAAGAAACGTAGTGATGGTGCAAATTGGACGAGTAAGTGCACTCCAAAAAATAAGATAATATTACAGAAAAGGATTGTGGTCGTAAGAACATATAGAATTGAGCAATTCAACGATAATAAATGGGAGGTTAAAGATTATGAAGGTACTTACTTACACCGTCCATCTCTATAATCAGCAATGCAGTTGTACTTGTAATATACCATAATTACAAAAACTGTCATGTGAACATGTTTTAGAGGCTAGTTCCAGTCAAGATGGTGGTGCTAGGTTGCTTTATGATCGGTATTACTCAGCTTGGTATTAAACTAATCATTATTGAAAGCCTCAAACTAATATTTTGCAGTTCGAGTGGCAGCCATACACATCTTACCTACCTCATCTATCGCTGATTTGTATAGAGGGACACGGTATATGGAGAGCTAGAGTTCCTCTCGTTTGTTTCAAAATTGTGGAGATGCACATGTTGGATCGCGTGCTTAGATAGTTTGGATCCGCACAGCACGCTCTACAATATGTCAGAAAAATAGAGAGAAATGTGTTTAAGGGTGGGCATCAGATTGACTAGCGGTATGTGCATCAATCATACATTACTAGATGGAATGATCGGCATCAACTTATTGTCAAGCAGCTTTATCCTCCGATGGAGGAAGTCGATTACATTAGATGGTATTGGGGGATTACCAAATGTTGGATAATCACTCAAACCATGTCTCCAATCGACGAAATAGAGATTCACTCCCAACAAGCAAGATATGTACCAAGAGGGGTAGATGAAAGAGAATGGGTAAGTAAATTGCAAAAATTATAATAGTGTTTTCAATCTCTTGTTACCTTTTGGTTTCTTATATATATCATTATATCTTTTTATATAATTGTAGATAGGCGCTGTGGACGATATATAGAGGGGATTGCAAATGAGGGCATACCTTCCGCCATAGGAGATTCAGTACACGTATCGATATTGCATCAGATAGTGGCGAGGGTTCGTAGAGCTTTCCATCAAACTCATGAGGATCAGCATGAAGGTCGTGAGCAAGTGGCGGATGAGGAGAGAGTATATGCACACCGACAAAGATTTGGTGGATCTTGCATGCACGACGATGAAGCTGGTCCGTCACAGCAAGCTGGTCCGTTATAGCCCAACACACAACTGGAGAGCGAGCAAATACAAACTCAAGTCGAAGGAGGTTGCCGCCGATCTGAGCGGGTGCGAAGAGGGAGACAACGGAGGAGAAGCGGACTTTTAGGTTGTTAGCTTTTCTACTTATAGACTATATATTGTCGTATGGATAGACTTGATACATTTGGATTTGTTTAGCTTAGACTATAAATCAATATGGATAGTCTTGATACATTTGGATTTGTTTAGAGTTGTTTTCGTCAAAAGTTGCATTCATCATTGATTTCATTAAACTTCAAACGTTACAAATGAATTCAAATAACAAAGAATTAAAAATTATAACTTTCTTGAAAATAAACACAAGATCCGTTTATCGTCTCTTGCTTGCGTAGGTCTTTAGCCTGTGACGGGGACGTCGATATCCGTGGACCACCTGGCAATCAGATCTGGTTCAGAGCTTCGTCGATCCGCGAGGAGATCTAGAAATTAAAGTGCCTATCTCGGAAAAAGCGAGATATTTGCTCTTCTTAGGATTACCGACGAGGGGTAATGCTAAGGAACGGATGCGGGTGATGTAGATCTGATGAAGAACCCTCTCGTGCTGAAGTGCTCGATCACTCTTCGCTCCGGCAGGGCTTCGCCTATTCTCCAAAATTCCAGATCTTAAAAACTGAAGTGCTCGATCACTCTTCGCTCCGGCAGGGCTTCGCCTATTCTCCAAAATTCCAGATCTTAAAAAATGAGGCCTAAGGTTTGTATTTATAGGCTTGAGGGGATAACGGAGCGGTTAAAACTGATCGAAAATCGTCAAAAACACGTCCCAAGTGCGAGAGAGCCTGTACCCTCTTCAGTATTTTGGTCATAACTTCCTCATATGACATCCAAATGATCTGATTCTGGATTTGATAGAAAGCTAACAAAAATATCTATAACTTTCCTGTTTTGAGTTTCTTTAGATTCAAAACGGATCATGATAAAAAAAAGCTCCACAAGTTCCGAGACACCTTAGGGTGTCTCGGCTAAGTCAAGACACTCCAATGGTATCTCGGCGCTATTTTAGTCATAACTTCCTCATATGATCTTCAAATGATCTTATTCCGGATTTGATGGAAATCTGACAAAAATATCTACAACTTTCCTATTTTGCGTTTCTTCAGATTCAAAACGGATTATGGTCAAAAAAGCTCCACAAGTTCCGAGACACTTTAGGGTGTCTCGGCCAAGTCAAGACACCCCAAGGGTGTCTTGGCGCTATTTTAGTCATACCTTCCTCATATGACCTCCAAATAATCTGATTCTAGATTTTATGGAAAGCTGATAAAAATATCTACAACTTTCTTATTTTGAGTTTCTTCAGATTCAA